AGATCCTCTTGGATTGCTGTAAGAATCTCCCTCTTCTTTTAAGCTCTGTCCTTGACCCCAAGCATTTATGCTCCTCCTGCAAAAGCTGTTGCTGACTCTCTGATGTCTTGTAGGGGCATGGGCTCATCTTCCCTCCATCTGCCACCTGCTTTGATAAAACCCCCAGGACTGATTTTTTTTTTTTTTTTTTTTTTTGCTGCTTTTCCAGCTCCAAGTGTGGTTGGAAGTGGCTGAGGAGCTCAAGTGAGAGGTCTCACATCTTTTCTCCCTGACTTTTTGCAGACGCCAGTGTGCATGTACTAAGCAGAAATAGCCCACCCTGTCTTATAAAATGTGTTGAAGTGATGGTCAGAGCTTTGCCCTGAGCAGGCTGCCCTGCAGCGATGCCGGATCAGTGATGTTTGGGATGATGCTGGAGTGGGAAAACCAGAGCCCACGAGATTTCATACCAGAAGGGAGGGCGGCCGAGGGAGCGTGGGCTGGGACTCAGCCCAGTGGAATGTGTACAGGAGAACAGGACAGAGGTTCCCCTTGGGCAGAGAGGTTTTTAAATCTGCTGGAGGCTTCAAATTATTATTTTTTTTTCTCTAATTGCCTGTGTGGTATGCGCAAGCATGAGAGAGAGAGGTTTGGTGTTTAATCTTTGAATGCAACCTTGATACCGCAACGCCTGCTTAATTAGATAGAGCGAAACTCCTGAATTCTCCCAGGTTTTTTTTTTTTTTTTGAGCTTCGGTAACTGAATGAAATCGGTACGATCTTACAAAACGTTCTGCTTGGCTGGACTTCTCTTTTCAACAGGCGGGCCAGGAAACATCTCCTTTCCTGATAAATACCGAGTGTTAGACCTGCTCACTCCCCCTGGCTCTCGCTCTGCCATCCCAGCAAGGCGGCAGGGACCGACGTGGTGACGCTGCCGCGTGTGGGATGTGCAGGTACCGCCGGTATGGGGGTGACACTTCTCAGCTGCCGAGAGGTCCCGGTGCGGCTGTGGGCGTCTCGAGAGGCGTCGCTCGGAGGGCAGGTTTCCTGTGGGGGTGCTGAGCATCGCCTGCCTGGCTTTCCTGGAAGTCGCTGGCTGGCAGCGAAGCGAGTTCAAATCTGCAGCTGCTGATACGACCATCTCGTCGCTGTGGGCAGCGCTTCCTCTCGCGTTGGAACGGCTCTGCCTCGAGGCACAGCCCCCTTCTTTCCATCCCGTCTCTCCAGACGGGTCCATCCCATCATCCGTGCTAGCTGGAGGGTCCGTTCGGATGCAGGTGCTGCCAGCTGAAGCCCTTTGCTTTGCAAAGCTGTGCAGGAACAAGTGTCTCGCAGAATTTCTCAGGCTGGAGCTGTGTCTGGGAGCGCCTGGGAGCACCGAGGGTGATCCACCGAAGAAGCGCAGACAAAAGTACGTGGTTCTGGCCGATTCTGTGGTTGCAAATGAGACCAACCATCAGCTTTGCCCAAATAAGGCCTTTGCAGGAGGGCAGGCGGTGGCCCGGGAGGTTTCTTTCTTTGTTCCCCTTTTGGTTGGGAAACCCACCCCTTCAAAAAAAAAAAAAAAGTTCCAGACAGAGCAGCCTTTGCCTCTCTGCTCTTTTCAACAGCAAAAAGCAGAGCTGCTTCCTCTGCAGAGCTGCAACGTCTCTTGCTTCCCGTTTATTTCGAGCTCCCTCCAGAGCGGGAGGTGCTGCTCCACAGGGAGGTTATTGCCCTTGATTAAGTTGTATAAACTGGAAAAGAGGAGATTTTGATGAGATCTAAGGAAGAAGTTCTTCCCTCTGAGGCTGATGAGGCACTCTGCCTGAAGAGAGCCCACTGCTGGCACGTCCACACGCTCCAGAGTGGGACTGGTGTCTCCATGCTGGACCAAAGGGATGGCTCGGAACGTCTCAGCACAGGATTCAGCTGCTGGCCAGGAAGCGCTGGATGAAGAACATGATCTACTGCTCGTGCAGAGCCTTCCAGTGCAGACTGCTCCTGGGTGCCAGCCTCAGGAGCGGGAGCTTCACTTTCCTGAACTTCTGCATGAAGTTATTTTCATAGAATCATGGAATCACAGAATGGTTTGGGTTGGAAGGGACCTTCAAGACCATCTAGCTCCAACCCCCCTGCCATGGGCAGGGACACCTTCCACTACACCAGGTTGCTCAAAGCCTCATCCAACCTGGCCTTGAACACTTCCAGGGATGGGGCAGCCACAGCTTCTCTGGGCAACCTGGTCCAGTGCCTCAGCACCCTCAGAGGGAAGAATTTCTTCCTTTTATCTAAGACTTTTTTAAGGTACAGAGTGGGGACAGGTAAAAGTATTCTGCCAAACAGCAAAGGCCCTTGCAGTGACACTGGTGAAGCAGCTGGGTAACTTTTGAAACCACCCAGGGCATCTGTTTTGCATAGCTGAAATGCAGATGGCCTCTTGATGGGAGCTGGAGGTGAGCACGTGCCTCGCTCTTCTCCCTGCAAACACAGAAATTGGGGGAGAACTGATTCAGAACCAAAGGGCTGAAGCCCTTCTTCCCGCTCTGCTCCCTGTGTCAGCACTGCCTGACTTGGCCAATTCCCACCTGCTTCCTGCTCCAGCTCTGTTCAGGTGTCCCTGGATGTGCAAGAGGAGGGTGCGCAGCAGTGTCAGGGTGCAGGATCTGGCCTCTGAGCCAGCAGGCAGGATTGTGGGATCCTTTTTTGACACGTCAGTGTGCAAACCTCACGTGGGACCTTGCACCAGCGTCCCAAAGACCTGATACAGCAGATGGCTGAGCAGGGACTGCCAGGGGGCAGGGACAAAGCAGGGGAGGATGCAGGAGCTG